ATAATGACAAAACTCTATTTCGTCAAATGAATAAATTAATTTCGCGCCAAAATTAAAGACCTATTATCGTAAATCTGATTGGTTCGTCCATAAATTATAGTCTCACCGAAAACATTAACGTTTTTCTGTTTAACAAGTCTGAATTCAGAAGGGGTTTTGCGGAGATTTTAGGAATTTCAATGGTTTAAATCATGAGTCAATTGATGCTAGACTACCATGGATAACCTGGAAGCACTGGATGGCCGTTTCGTCCTAGTACGCGGCTCCTCAGCAGTGTGCATCCGCAATCCCGCACTCCATGAGATTCGAACCTAGAACCTATCAGTCTCGCGCCAGGCGCTTAAGTAACTAGACCACTGAGCCGGCATCTAACGGTGTTAATGTCTAACTTCAAGCAATCCATGAAGTTGCGCCACTGTACACCATTGTCTTCAGTGAGTTGATATCTCACAACAGACCTGGTTGAACTCCACTGGTAACGGCTTCTCACTAGAACTCCAGGAGTATCTCTTGAAGTCAGGATTGTTAAACAGAAAAACGTTATAATTTTCTATTCATAATGATGTCCATACGTTTATTTATCAATATAATGTAGTGAATAGAGATAATTACTTATTTACTTAAAAATACTGTCGTTTGTATTAATATCTTTACAACAGATTGACCACTGACTAGTGAATAGTGTCGTGTTTAACTTTTTCTTTGGTGTTGGCCGAGATTGATCACTCAAATAACATTCTGATCACTAATCTAAGTGTACTATGTTAATATGTTATGCGGTTGGAATTCATTTAACAGAAATCTCATTTCACTTGAGTGTCATGATATTCGTTAGACGTCAGTTAGTTGTACCTGTATTAATGAGCAAAATGATGCTTATCGGCAGATTTGAACTCGCATTATCAAGACTCATAGTCCAACAAATTACCACTAAGTTATATAAACCGTGTATGACCTACTGTATGACTAAGATATTTACACCGAAAGGTTATATATTGATAAAAAGTGGAATTTAAAGAATTTTCTAATGATTTATGTATTAAGCTAATATCATTATTATTGTAACTATTGTTTACGAAGAAGAATGTTAAAATCTTATGATGTTGTTGATAATTATTTCTACATTAAGATTTGGTTAAGTTACAGTTTTTAAAAAAATATGTGTTCGTCTTTAAGATAAATAGTGTCAAGTCACTCAGACCAGTGGTCACAATAAAACTTGATCGATAGAATATGATCAGCAACTAAGTGGGTAACGCGATGGAGTTTGAAGCAAACGGTAAATGTTGAATCTGAGATTCAGGTATATTCAGATGATGAGTCACGAATAGGGCGCAATGCGCGTCCTTATTTCTATATTCCATTTAATCTAATGGCTATATCGAGAAAATCTGCAGAGGATCCTCATATGCCAACCGAGTCTGACCAAATTTCAGTCAAAAATATTAACGACGGGATAATCGAATTATATACTCAGTGATTAGTTAAGTTATGCATTTCATTTCTACAAGAGATTAATCACATATCCCAGTGACAATGCCTCTGGGATACCTTGTAGGAATACTATAGAGGTTATCGCCCCTCTCAAGATTGAAGTTACGCCTTGTAGACGTATGTCAACTAGCATGTAACCATGATTTAAAGTCACTTGTTTATTACCTTCAACCATCTAATTTCAAGATTAATGGTTTGAGTTATGCCATTAGTTGACATCTTATTGTAGCTAAAATCCTATAAGTTGGACTGTTCTAGAAGAAACAGTTCATGAGTATAATTTTTTATTTGAAGCTTTGTCATCATGAACTTAGGTCATTTTGAAATCAGTAGAATTTCTAGAACTAAGAGAATTGTTGGTATACATGTACAAGTGGGTGAGAATATTGAAATAAAATTCAGCTAAGAAGGCATGGTAGATGTTAACGGCTTCAGAAAACTAGAAGAAATCATGTGAATCAATTTGCTGATAAATAATACTGTTTGTTTTTTACCGACGATTATTCGAAAAATGAGATTTTATGCCAAAAGAATTGTATTTTCTAAAATTTACGTCATTAACAAGTCGTAGTTAGACCATTACTGGGAATCCAGAATCACTGAAAAGCCTTGTCATCACAGCATAGAACCCCTTAGCAGTGCATATCTACGACTCGGCACCCGGAAATTGAACTTGGAACTTTCGACCTCGGACTTTAACCCTGAACCTTTAGGCCACTGAACTGGCGTCCAGTGAGTATGTGACAGTTATCCACCTCTGAAAATGAGTAAGGGTTACGCAGCAGTGTGAATTGGTCATAATCAAACTCGTACACCATTATACAGCGACTCAGTGGTCTAATGAATAAGCAATTAGGTGCGAGATCACAGGTCACAGATTTGACTCCCAGGTGAAGGTTCGTGGATATGCATTGCTAAGGAGTCCCTCACTGAGACGAAACAGAAATACAGTGCTTCCAGGATTTCAATGGTGGTTTAACTAAGATTAGTTAGTGATTTAAACTATGGAATTTCTACAATCTTTACAAATCCTCCAATACTATGGGTTTTTTGTATTTATTGAATTGTGAGCATTAGTCTAGAGAAATTATATTTCTCACATAATTAGTAACATTTGATGTAAAAGCTTTTAGTTTTAGTAAAATAATCAACACGTAAACTTAATGACAAAAGAAAATTAGCAAGATTATTCTTTCGAAAGGAATTTGAGAGTAAACTTTCAGCCAAACTAATTATTATTACAGTAGGTGGTTGGAGGTAGTCACTAGTAAACCATCATTCAAGATTTTAATGATATTCGCAACTCGTCACAACAGAGTACATCTGAAATCTTAAGAGAACTTCTAGCCTTTTGATAGATTCGAATCCAAGTCACATTGATTTATCGTTTGATCCATCATCATTGAGTTACTCAGCTTGAAATGAACAGGTTGACACGAAAAAAATTAGATAAACATGAAATTATTTAGTACTTAATGATCAATCAGTTTTAATAATTATTACTTCGTGATTACTCCATGGTTGTTTGTAATTTGTTGTATTTAAATAAGAAAACTTAAACATTTTTATTGTTGCATTGTGTAGTTAAAATAGATCTGTTTTTTCTTAAAAAGAAAAAGGATCTGTTAATTTGCATGGAATTTAGGAAATTGAAGAAAAGAGCAATATTAGTGGAAGTTAGTGTTTAATCCTAAGTGTTTCAACAGTGTCAATAGGGTATCTCATCTATTAATTACAAGTTTACATATTCGGGGTTAAGTCAAGTGTTTTATTCATATTCTCTGGTTATACTAGTAGGCTGTTTAAACGGAACTAGATTTTGAAATCATGGGACATTTAATCCGGTTGTCGAAACCTAAGTTGTTTTTTTCAACTAGCCAATAACAGACTGATCAATTGCAGTCCTAAACCTCAATGGAAAGATACAAGCCAAACAATACCAAGTGAATTTAAATTCACCCCATTGCAAAAGCAAGTGGTTATAAGGACTCAGTAGCTGAGTGGATAAAGCGATGGCGTTTGAAGCGAATGGTACTGGGTTCGAGTCCCAGAGTGAACATCAACTCTGAGATGCAGGTACGTTCAGCTGACGAGTCCCAAATAGTATGAAACGCGCGTCCTTGATTCCAGTGCTAGCCCCTATCCATCATTGCTTACAAAAAGCTTGTGAATTAATGCAATATCGAGGCATACGCGCAGCATGCACATATGCCAATAACAAACTGATCAATTGCAGTCTTAAACCTCAATGGGAAGATACAAGCCAAACAATACCAAGTGATGTTATGGTTTAAGTTACTTATAAGGAGATACTATATAATGTATGCATAATGTGAAAACAATTCTCGTTATGGATGAGTGTATTAGGCGTCCAAACACAAGAAAACACTAAATAGTTCAATTCACTTGATGTTTTTTACTTGTATCTTCCCATTGTTATTTAAGACTGCAATTGATCAGTCTCTTATGGGCATATATGTGCATTCGGTTTCAAATTTCTTTTAAAATCGAGATTATTTTTATTGATTCTGATCAGCTTATACCTATAAAGTACTTTCGTGGTGCATGCTACTCATGCTAACAGGTATAAGTAGTATGCAGCAGCAATCGGAAGTGGAATGTCTGCTGAAAGGAGAATGAATTGAAGAGAAAAAGGAAGGAGAACAGAGGGGAATCGAAGTGACAACAGAATTAGAAGAATCTTGAAGTATGCAAAGGACAACTGGGTGAAGATATGCGAATAGTGTATTTAATGTATGGTTTTCATATTATATATATAATTAAATGACAACAGAATGGCTATGTTGTTTATTGAATGATTAATTAAGGAGTTTTAGGAAAACCGAAGTTTATTAAGTGGCTAATGATCATGGTCTATTGCTACTGACTACTTTAACACGTGTACTTATAAACTTAATATTTAGCGAAGTATGATCACATCATATATTTAGTGTCTATACGTAAAGGTAATCTTGAACTTTATTAAGAAATATATAGGTTGATGTAAACGATTTAAGTAAATGAACAGGAAAACAAGGGAATCAAAATCTATTTAATTATCTTAACTTCGATAGCATACGTACTGGACTAATCTATGGTAATCACCAGCAGCTAAGAATTAATGAACAGTTGTTTTGCCTCCGTTTAGGAACTAAATAGTGCGCAATCAAGACACCAGAGTTGGTCAGGCATACAATATTGAAGTCTTAAGGCAATCCATTAACCTATTATAGCAATTGGTTGGTATTTAATGTTCTGTACGTCTAACTTCAATCAGTTTCCAATATTCTGTTTCTTGCCTAAAATGTTTGAATTTCACTAATTAAGCATTCTTACAAGAGAGCTCCAGGAGTTACCTTGAGAAGTTAGTCACTCATAAATATATAGATTATTATTACTATAGAGGGCTTTGTAAACATTTTTTAGAATGTTTATAGTTTACATTATGTATTAATAACTTGGTTTAAAACAATCATTGACAGTATAACAGAAAATATACTACTTACAAAATTGTCAGATATCATATTTTGATTATGATAACTTCCTGATTCATAAGCTTCTGTAATTGGTAAAGGATTTAATTGACCAGATTTATTATTATCATTATCATTAGGACTAGTAGTATTTTCTTTTAGTTTACTTAATTTCTTTGTTGTTAATTGTGAAAAACGTCGTTTATTCTTTAAACCAAATGCACTTAAATGAGTAATGAATGCAATTGATTTAATTCTTGAATTATGATGTCGTGATGATAGATTTTCACTAGATGAAGATCTATATTTATTCAGGGTAGATTGTAATGGATGAACATAAACTGGATAACAAGTTGGTTCATTTATTGTTGGTAATGTTGTTGACGTCTCTGTTAACATTATATCGGTTGTAGGTTTATTATAGGATTGAAAATTGGGAGATGTTGCATCGAATAATGTTAAACCATTGAAATGATTTGTATTAAAATAATGCTGATCAGTCCAATCTGTCAAATGAATTAGAAAAAAAGAGCAAACAACTTAGAAACAAATAATAAGAGTTACAAAAATTTACACAAAAAGAATAAGAAAAATTTATAAAATTGTCGGATTAATGAGTAAAGAATAACAATTTCATTAGAAATCGGAACCCAAGGAATTTTCTAGCTAATCTGTGGGAAGAAGACTACCTTTGAAATGCAAGAGGTACAAGGGGTAACAGGAGTAAAGAAGAAAGAAAGGTTCACATTACTACATTGTTTTATAACAGAGAAAAGAAATTATCAAAACGAATTCTATAGTAGTAGACATGTTGAAGGTATGATCATTTGAGAGGACATTCGAAGAAAGTTCAAAAACCGAGATCAAACCGTCTACGTCTGGAGTTCCGTTTCTCGCACCGAGTAGTGAATTACTGGAATTCTCTACCCGAACACGTAATATCAGCACCGTCTGTTAATATATTCAAAACGAGATTGGACCTTCACAGTATTACAAACTGCAAGGATTAATATAGGTCGACAGACCTCCTATCCTTATTACTGAAGACTGAATCATCCCATTCAATGGTCAAGACAACCGAATAGATCTCAACCAATTGGTTTGCACCTAACAACACAACCCAATTCATGGACTGATGTCACCTCTTGGTTTGACCACTTCTAACTTTTATTTTTCTAACTTAAGTCTCCATCAAAAAACATTGATCGTCAAGAATACATAATAGTCATCCTAATCATCTCAGTACATGAAGATTTCCTATCTCGTCGACCTATTTTCACCTTCTACGGTAATAAATTTACCTAATCAAATTTTAATAACTAGTTAGATTAACTATTAAGTTCAGTTGGTATTGTTTACTTGAATCTTCCCGTTGATGTTTAGCACTGAAATTGACCACTCACTTATTGGCATGTGTGCATCCTGTGCCTGTTGCCTCAATATTGCTTTAATTCATTATAAGCAGAGGTGCGTATGCCAATAAGAGACTTATTAATTGTAGTGTTAAACATCAATGAGAAGATTCAAACAAACAATATTAAGTGAATTTTTTAACTTCACCCCATTTCACAAGCAGGACTCAGTAGCTAAGTGGATAACGCCATGGCATTTAAACCGGACAGTACTGGGTTCGAGTATCAGAATGAACATCAACTCGGCGATACAGGTACATCCAGCTGACAAGTTCCAAATAGGATGAAATGCGCGTCAAACATGATTTTACTGGTAGACATTATCCATCTTTGCTTATATCCACCATTGTTTACTTATCATTTAGATGATAAATTATCATTTTAAACAATATTAAATTTATAATTTACTAACAATCTTATAGAAAGTTATATTTTCATGCAGATATCGGTTGTATCCAATTCACAACATACATAAAAACAAACATTGGAACAAAAAGGCACTAAATACATATGCGCCACATAAATCATTCAATTTGTGTAAAGTCTGTGATACTGCCCGGGTGCCCAGATCGAAGCAGATTCAGAACATACATTACAATAGATTATGAATTAAAACCAATTTGTATACTGGAAACCAAGTATACATAACTTGAGAATGTTTTCGGTCATAGGATTGATAAAAATCAACCATATATTTCAACTGATCTGGTTGAGAATTTCCGTTTTACAAACATAATCTATTTAATTGATTCATGAAGAAAAAAATCGATAATCTTTGGATATAATTTATGATAACAACCAGATATATATATATATATATATATATATATATATATGAAGACTTGAACGCCTTATTTAGTCTCTAGACAAAATGATTTGGTAATAACCATATTAAATACATTAGAACAAATGTAAAATATATATGTAAGGGTATTTTATAATTGACAACTATCAATAGTTTTACCTTAGGAATAGTGTTATTATTTTAGTTTAAGGAGGAATAAAATGGATTATTATCATTTATATAATAATAATAATAAAACAATAGAAAATCGATATTTTAATCAATATTAGGAGACTGTATAGTAACTATTATATTTAATAATTAATGCAATAATATTTCAATGAAAAGTTTATAAAAAATTTTTTCTTTACTGAAGTAGAATAATGACTAGTAATGGAATTTAAGGAAAAATTAGGTTTTGTCCTATTGAATACTTGTAAGCAATTTATTAGTATTAGGTTAGATACAAAGATTCAAGAACAATATGTTTCGTTTCAAGCTACAGAGAACCAGATTGATTATGTTTGTATCATTAAAAATTCCGAAGGACAATGGAAGATATGAGGATCAGAAGGGGAACTGATACAGCTTTAGATTACCATCTGGTTGTGGTTGACAACATGAAACTGAAGCTAAAAAGCATCAGACAACTAGAGAATTAGCAATACAGAGGTTCAATACAGGCTTCTTTACAGATACTCAAAAAGTCAACGAATTCAAGATAACTCACAACAACAGGTTCTAAGCTCTATAAGATTTACTCGAAGAAAGGGAAACTACTGTGAATTAAAATTGGAAAAGGATCAAAGAAGCACTAACTTCAACGTGTTAGGAGTTTCTGGGCAGCAACAGGTATCATCATAACGAATAAATCTGTTTGAAAACCCCGGACAAGATTCAAGAAAGGATGAATAAGAAGGCAGCAATTAAAAATAGCAGATCAAGAATAGAAAAAGTCAAGACACTCAATCGCAACCAGTGGAGTTCATTCGGGTCTGTTGTGAGATAGGCACTCACTGATAACAGTGGTGGACGGTGAGGTAACTCCGTGGATTGTTTGAAGTTAGACATTAACACCGGTGGATGCCGAATCACTAGTCTAGTGGATAAGCGCTCGCATGTGAGACTGATAGGTCCTGGGTTCGATTCTCGCGGCGTGCGGGATCGTGGATGCGCACTGCTGAGGAGTCCTATACTAGGACGAAACGGCCATCCAGTGCTTCCACGTTTTCCATGGTGGTCTAGCTTCAATTGATTTATGAATTCAACTATCAAATTACTATAATATACACAAAAACACCCTTCTCTGATTATAATTAGATTTAGATTGATTCAGTTGCAACAATGGTTGCTAAACAACCATTGGAAATTAGGGTATGTTAAAAAGCAAATATCACAACTTAGGTTGCTTATTATCAAGATTGTACAATATCAAACTCATACAAAAAGGAAACCGGGTATTTCAAGCAGTGTCACAAATATGTTAGCAATTTAATTCCTCCCCTCAATTGAGTTTTATTCTCATGGTTTAAACTTTCAGATTAATAGGATAACTTCAGGTTATATCGCTTTTTTTGTTAGTTAATAATTGTCCTTACATGCACGAATAATGGTCATGACATTTGCTTCAATCTATATATGTTTTTTATAGTGCATTTTGCTATTAATTGATCGGTTGTTTCTAGCTTTAATTTGCTAATTTGTTGTTATTCCATTACAAATTTAGATCTCCTGAATATCATCTGACTTTGCTCTAACTTTCACGAGGTTTAGGATTATAGCTAAAGCATTGTATGTTGTCAGATCTATTGGTTTCGCTGTTACGATGGCTCCCAGAAGGTGTGATGAAGCCTCCAAAGGATTTAAAGCAGTGGAAGAGATTAAATCCAACCACAATCGGATAAAATTTTCTAGAATATTAACGTGACATGCTGTGATTGAATAAATGTATAAATTTTCTACGTACGGGTAGGCTGAATTATAATGATGTTATAGCCTTTACCAACAACCTTAAATTGACTCGTCTTCCTGTACATTTTCGGAACTTACTTTAGTAATGCTTTTCCTGTTTACTTCTATCTTTTCGATTTGCGACTTGGGGATTCTACGCATTCAAGTGTTGAATTTGTAAGCCATATTGGCTATAACCAAGTAACAGACTTAATCCTTGCATGGATTAATTTACTTATGACAAGAAGGGCTAAATAAGCATGAAATTAGTCATTACCCTATGATCAATCGATTTGTATTTGACCTCTGTTTAACCTAATGGATATGGATTACTGAAAAGCTAGAGAAATATATTTATTACTTCTCAATTTTTACTGATTCATAGGTTGATGATGATTGGAACTGATTTACTTACTTAGGCCTGTTACCCTTAGTGGATGAGCATAAACGTCCCACAAGCATTATCCATCCAACTCTGTCCTGAGAACTGCTTTTCAGTTCTTTTCAGTTGCTATTCATCCTTTATTATTATCACTAATATTATTATTATTAATGGCTTTATTTAATATTCTATTTTTGGTACAATCTAGAATTCTCAGCACAAGTATTTTAACAAGTTTCCTTTCCCTATTTCTTGATCGATCCTGATAATAAATATGGTGTGATCGACAGTTAGAAGTTAGCAGTTCAGGAATCGACATCTGAATCATGTTTATTCTTTTCAATGCCAGCAACCACGATATCTCTGATTGGGCTCTTTTTAATTTGTACAGGGAAATGTAATAAACGTTTCATAAGACTAATAGACATAATCATATGTTAAAACAAACAGAAAAACAGATAACTTGTTGAAATATCCAGATGAAAGGAAAAAGTAGTCCAGTCTTCTCTTCTCTTCTCCGATATTTTGTCTGGATTAACGGTTGTATGAAATATAAGTATTCGAAAAACCGTTCTCATATTTGATTCCGTTATTTAGTAACGCGATTTAAGTTGCTGATTATATACGAGGATAGACGACATATACATTTCAATAACAATCATGAGTTGATTGAAGCTAGACCACCATGAAAAACCTGAAAGCACTAAACAACCGTTTCATAGATTAGTTGAAGTTAGACATTAACACTGTTCGATGCTAGCTCAGTGATCTAGAGGTTAAGCGTTCGTGCACGAGACCGATAGGTCCTACGTTCGAATCATGTAAGATAAGATCGTGGATGAGCATTGTTCTTAATTCATTTAAACAGTACAAATTGTAAAAGATACAACATAAATCATGAAAAAAAAAGATTACGAATTTCATTTTATTAAGAAACTTGTTGAACTTAACACACACACACACACGCACACACACAAA